GATGAAACGTGGCTGGACATTTCAGCAAGATTATGACCCCAAACACAAAGTCTAGGAAACTCTCAGTAGGTTTCAGAGAAAGAAAATAAAGCTGTGCCATTCCACATTATTACAAATAACTTAATTTCTGGTCATTTCTGGTTTGATTTCTTTGTATGTATGGATCTCTTGCGTTGTTACCGACATCTGGTGAAAATTTCATGTCATTAGCACCTCTGGTAATATATTTACTGAAAAAAATGGTAACGTGTTCAATACTTATTTTACCCGCTGTACATACAATATTTTTTCGAAACACTTAACTTTTTATCTTGTTTTTTTTGTGTACCAAAAATAGTGGTGGGGCAGCGCCCTTGCACCCCCTATTGACCAGCTGCCACTGGTGAGCTGCAGTTTGTGTAAAGAACATTTAAATTAGATTTAAAACAAAACTCATTAACTTCTGGGAGGCGGGGCAAGATGGCAGAGGAGTAAGACGTGTGTAGCGTGGGCTCCCGCTCCGACTTGTTCTGTTTGTGGTTCTCTACTAAATGTCCTTGCTGTTTTGAGCATTTGGTTTGTCCGGATTCGACCCCTGAGTGATTCTTGCCTGGAAGAGTAGAAGAATGGCGACAAAATCGAGGAAAGCCAAACATTCTAGCTTGGCAGCTGTTAGGCCCGACACCGCCTCGGAGCAGGCTGCAGCTAAAGCCGGATTTTTGGCGCCTCCTTCTCCCTCCCGCAGCGAGGCGGGCGCACTCTCCTTGAAGTCTGACATTCTTGCCRCTATAAAAACCGATCTCTCAGCTGTGATCAAATCCGAAATAAAAGCGGCTTTGGCTGAAGAGTTTATTCTTATTAAAGGAGAGCTACAAGCGGTGAGAGCGGAAGTGGCTAACGGTACAATGCTACTACGCGCCGACCTGGACCACCTTAAGCTAAGCGTTAAAGAGGTGGAGGGCGGCTTGTTGACCTGGTCTGATGAGGTTGTTGCTCTGCGCACTACCGTGTTGGAACTGAAAGAAGAAGTTGATGGGATCAAAAAGAAGTGTGACGATATGGAAGGGCGCATGAGAAGGTGCAATGTGCGGATTATTGGAGTYCCCGAGACGCCAGAATCCAGCTCCACTTCAGCAGTGGCTAAACTGCTAGCAGAGGTTCTACAGATGGATAAAGAGCCACTGGTGGACCAAACCCATCACTCTCYAGGTGGGAACAAGTCAGGCGATAAGCCRCGGGTTATTGTTGCTAAGCTGCACTATTATCAAGAATGTGTGGAAATTTTGCATCAGGCGCGGAGCCGCGGCCATATTCGTTTTAAGGAGGCACCGATTATCATCACATCTGACTACACTGCGGCTGTGGCCAGGGATCGGGCGGCGTTTAGGGAGGTGAGGAGGCTTCTTCGCAACCGACGAGATGTTCCCTACGGCTTGCTTTTTCCTGCACGGCTCCGCATCTCTCATGGGGAGGAAAACAAGGAGTTCCTGGATGCCAATAAAGCAATGGACTACATTAAAAAGAGGATCATCTCGGCGACGGTCAGCGAGGACCGGCATTGACCGCATGTCCAATCCTCATCAATCCATTATGACTGTCAGGTTGTAATGAACCTTCCAATTTCATGTCCCGTGCTATATCTTGATTTAAGTTTAGACTTTATTCCGATGGACAACATTCCTCTTTTTGTTCTATATATGAGAGTTTCACAGGGGGTCTGTCCAGATCTTGGTTAGTGATTTATTTATCAGTGCAGCTAGGAGCATAATATGTAATAATACTTTAAAGTATTATATGTTTTGTTTTTTTGTTATTGTTATTTAGTTGTGGCGGGAGTCCAGGCAGGGAGTTAAGTCCCCCAGTATAAGCACAAATGTGTGGATTTTTTGTTTGTTGGGTTCTCCGTGTTTTTTTAGGAGAAAGGGGTGGGACTATACTGGATTTATTTGTTTTGAGAATGTCTTTCAGGTTTTTTTGTGATGGTTTGTGTATATTGTACTACAGTCTGATTGACCATACATGAGCAGTTCTAATATTAATAGGTTCATCAACAGTCACCSAGTTAACTGTGTGAGTTGGAATGYGAAATCCCTCAATGGTCCAGTGAAATTTAGGAAAGTTATGACACATTTAAGACAACTTAATGCTAATATTACTTTTTTGCAGGGAACCCATTTGCGTAAGGCAGACAGTGCAAATCTAAGCAGGCGCTGGTCTGGTCAGGTGTTTCAGTCTAATTTCCAATTGTTATGGCCAAAGTCCATTTGTGTGTAAAA